TATGTAAGAGCAATCGTTAAAGAAGGGGTCTTGAATTTTGGAAGAAGTATGGAGATGGATATGGAAGAGTAATAATGTAATTACATTTTAATTAAATAAGAAAGAAAAATTGGTAATTACATTTTAGTGATTTACTAAGGTAAACTGATAAATAAAAATGTACATATGTGATATATACATTATAGCAAATTTGGACTTGAGAACCTACTTTTTGAGATATCAAAATTAAATTTCCCCTTCTAAGTGAGATTCAAGCTTTCTTGCTCGTGCCTTCCTTCTTGTTTAGTTCCTTTGGGTCTGTGGAATATAACATGGTACCTGCATTCTATGGCTAATATATACTTATCAATGAGTACATATTATGGATATCCTTTTGGGACTGGGATGATATCACTCAGGATGATATTCTCAAGTTCCATCCCTTTGCCTGAAAAATGATGTCTTTGTTTTTAATAGCTGAATAGTACTTCATTGTGTAGCTATGCCACATTTTTTTTATTCATTCTCCAATTGAGAGACATCAAGGTTGTTTCCAGTTTCTGAATATTATGAATAAAGCCGCTATGAACATTGTTGAACAAGTATCTTTGTGGTATGTTGGAGCATCTTTTGAGTATATTCCAAGAAGTGGTATAGCTGAGTCTTTTGTTTGTTTGTTTGTTTGTTGTTGTTTTGCTTTTCGAGACAAGGTTTCTCTGTATAGCCCTGGCTGTCCTGGAACTCACTCTGTAGACCAGGCTGGCCTCAAACTCAGAAATCCGCCTGCCTCTGCCTCCCAAGTGCTGGGATTAAAGGCGTGCACCACCAACGCCCAGCAACTAGCTGGGTCTTGAGGTAGAACTTTCCCCAATTTTCTGAAAAACTGCCAAATTGGTATCCAAAGTGGATGTACAAGTTTGCATTCCCACCAGAAATAAAAAAGTGTTCCCCTTGCTCCACAAGCCAAGCAAGAAGGAAGGCAAGTGCAGAAGATTGAATCTCACTTAGAAGGCAGAATGTAATAGTCATAAAAGGCAGATGGAGGGAGGGAGCTGGGAGGAAGGGGGGATGGGAAAGTGAACGGAGGATTCAGGATCAGGTGTGGGTAAGGACAAGAGAGATGGCTAGATAACCCTGAAAATGAATGCAAATCTGCAACTGATGAGTTTGAGGAGGTGGAGGAGATAGAGAAAAGCAGCTTCCTGCTGCTGGGATATGTTCTTTAAACTGGGCTGTTTCGTCTGGCCTCAGTGGGAGAGGAAGCATCTATCCTAGCAGAGACTTGAATGTCAGGATGGAGGATATCAGGGGAGCTCTATGCACTCAAAGGAGAAGGAGACAGGAGATGGGGGTGAATTGTAGGAAGGGGTGACTGGGAGGGGCAGTGAGTGGGATGTAAAGTGAATAAGTAAAAAGATAATAAAATTAAATTTTAAAAAACTAAAATTTTGAGAATAGAAGTTATACTTGTCTTATGAGTTTGAAACATGAACAATTTAAATGAGTTAATATTCTGTTAGTTACCATTTAATTTGAGTGGTTTTAATAAAGAAATAAAACTTGAATATCTAATTATAAAATTCAAGATAAAACTGTCCACTAACATTGCATGGTGTATTTGATTCTGTTTATCTAATTCAGTGGATGATTAATACACAGTACCCTTATTAACAAGTTTCAGTAATACTGCTGCTCCTAAGAACAAGGTAAAATTCCTTTCCAACCATTCAAAGTCCTTTAAAATCTGACTTTATCCTTGGCTTTCAGTGTACAATCTAGTAATTCTTTTTATGTCTGATTGAGATTTTATCAGCTGATTTCCAGAATTCATGGATCTTTACTTTTGAAAAGCCCTTTATTTCTTTTGCAATCCTTTCACTCCCAACGTTCATGAAGCAGGATATCTTCCATACTTCAAAACCCTTAATTCTGAAAATAGTCTGTTCAGCAACCACTCCTTTATATTTAGTAATTTAGCTAGATGAGTAGGTTAAAGTATGTGATTCTTAAAGACAAGCAATGGCCGATTTGATTGAACTTGTATGTGACTCAGAGCATAGCCCAGTATTTAACGGATAGAAGAATGATACCATTTGTTCCAATTATTTTTGTCACTTTCTTGGTATATTTTTTAGTTTCTAACATAATTATATCATTTCCTCCTTCCCTTTCTTTACTTCAAAGCATAGTGTATATTCTCCTGATCTATTCAAACCATGTCCTCTTCTTTTGTTAATTGTTGATACAAACAAATATGTGTGGGGGGGGGGCGGGGGGGTGTATGTGTGTTCTTATATCTTCTTAAATGCATAAATATACCTTGTTCAGTCTGTATAATGTCACTTGGATGTATGTTTTTAGTGCTGACCATTTGGTATTGGATAACCAGTTAGTATGCCCTTCCCTAGGAATGACTATGTCTGTGCTCTCAGCATTCATCAGCTGGTTGTAGATTTTGTATAGTGTTGATCTCTTTTAAGTCCATGTTACCATGTTTATTGTTACTGTACTTGTTCAGTTTATGTTTAGGCAGCCATGTTGCTGAGATTTCATGAATGTATCATCTGACAATAGTAGGAGACTCAATATTACAGAATCTCATTGATCTCTGGCTCATACAATTTTTCTTGGTCTCCTTCCTCAATGTTCTCTAGGATACAGTTTAGTTTAGTTTAGTTTACTTTACTTTACTTTACTTTACTTTACTTTACTTTACTTTACTTTAGTTCAGTTCAGTTCAGCTCAGCTCAGCTCAACTCAGCATAGCATAGCATAGCATAGCATAGCATAGCATAGCATAGCATAGCATAGCATAGCAT